ACTACTGTATATCAATAACTCACCTCACCAACAACATCATGCTATATAATATAGCCTAAGTGTTCACCAAGTACAGTTGTTAAACTAAGTACATTTTCTTCCTTCAATAGTACTAGTATCCTAAAACAAAATAAATGTCAGACTAGCATAGCCAAACCCTTGATACATCGGAGAGGAAAGTACCATTGTTACTTAAGGCAGGTAAAACTTGAATCTTGTCATTGTATACCCACTACATATTAAATGCTTGCGATAGCGTAACCCGATCTTCTTGAAAAACCTTTGTGTGAACCCTAGAAATATTTAACCTAGTGGTACTTTATGAGCCTGTGTTGTGAAGCAAGCTATGAGGGGATTTCATCATCTTTGTCCCAATAGCACACTTTATCATGCATACTTATTAAATTAAAGCAGCTTTCTTTAACAAATATTTACAGAGCACTTTTGGTTCTTAAATTTGATAGTGAACTTGATGATTTTTTTTTTTAACCCCACAAACCCTGCTTGACCTTAGAACAATGGTGTCAAATTTGAGCTCAATGCCCTTTTCAAACTTTAGCGCTCTTCTCTTTGCCAACTTTGTGTTGTATAAATAGAAACAAAGAAGGTGTAAACATTCAAAATATTTTCAAAAAATATGGCAAGAATGTTATAGCTCTTATTACTACACTAAATTGATCAAGGTGGGTGCTAGCAATTACTAGTAGTTAAAAATGTCACCATTGTTTTAACATTTTTGAACTTCCACTTTAATTGGAGACACTCATCATAGTGTACTACTTTAACTACATGCTCCAAACAAATGTCAACACTGATTTTAATCCTCTAAAGAGGACTTTACTACCCAACTCTACCAGACTGGGGGGTGGGGAAGGGAGGCGCCGCGGGATGGGAAGTGCACCAATCTGCTCTGTAAAGAGAGTACTGGTTTTAAAAGACAGTAACATTCTTCCTATTTGTTTGGAAGGTGTTAGTTTTATGTGACGGGTCACAAAAACGTACAAGAGAGGTATGTATTCTCAATATCTTATTTTTAATTATATGGGGAGTAGGTAGTAGACTAAGGTTAGTAGACAAAGCACTTGACTTGCTTTCAGAAAGCATAGCTGAAGTTCAACTTGAGGTCTTCAATTAAGATTTTGGTGGTATTCACTCAGTCACATGAAAGCCACAACTTTTAAAGTCTCCAAGTAGAAAGAGTCTTGAACTGCTAGACTCATTACAGTGAGAAAGTAGAGGAGTCCTCCAAGATCAAAGTTAAGGTCATTTATACAGTAATACAGGGACACAAAATGGAAGTAAATCCCTGGAGTGAGGAGAAGATGACTCCTGGTTCATCGCTGCTAAATCCCTTATTCTGTCAGTACAAAGCTACTCAAAACTAAAACAAAGGACATCAATGGGAAAACAACAACAATGAAGAAAATCATTTGTCTGAGTATTTTGTTTCCTTTTACAATTAATACCCAAGATTTGTGTAAATTGAGAAAAATGTATTCCCCCCACATGTTAATGTATGTGACAGCACTTTGTATATATAGTTTCATATTTCATTATATACAATTTTGTCTGGGGTACTCTTCCCACAAAGAAAAAATATTTCAAAAATAGAAAAAAAAAATGTGGATTTAAGACCATAAAAATCAGCAAAGGTATTGGTAAGCAGGAGTAATACCTAGATTGCTTTAAACTCATTTTGAAACTGCCTAGATTTCAAGATGACAGTGTCCCATTAAAGTTGTTTTATCCAGTTCAACTAGAACAGCTCAGTTTGAAGGTTCCTTAAACGTTAACACCTGTCAAAAATGGGTTACTTTTTTTTTTAAAAAACATACCTTTATATGCATTAATGACAAGCATAACCGCCATTGTGTTGCTTTATGCAATATAATCTGCATCAAAAGTAGGTTGCCTTGGGAACTACAGTCAAACCAATATTCCCATACATTTACCTCTCACAGTAATATAGAACAATAGAAATATAGAGCTGGAAAGGGGCTCAGGAGGTCATTCTGTCCATCTTCCCCCTCCCCACACACACGGGCAGGATGTAGTATACCAAGACCACAGACACGGTTTAAAATGGCAAGGACTAAAAGCAGGAGACTGCAGCTAGGAGTGCAAGAGAAAAGTCTGTCGCATGACCCAGGGCGAGAGAGCACGTCTAGCTATTGCTATCCGCAGTGGCTGCCACAAAAATAGTCACCTGACCAAGCCCCTAAGCGCAGGAATGGGAAATGCACGGATTTCATCGGGCACTGCCTCCCTTCCAGAGACAGCCCGAGTTTAGCCGCAGCGCCGTGGTAATGAAAACTAGTTATTCAAGTTCACGGCGAAGTCAAGAAGTAGTTCAGCAAAGTGACAGCCCGCCAGGTGCTTGTCAGCGACTGAGCTCCTACCTTCCCTCTCCAGCCTCGGCTACGCAGTATGGGGGAACTGACCGATCAGCTAGGACAGGCTGCAGCCCCGGGCGCAGCCAGCCCTTTGCTCCCTCTCCCCCCGCCGCACCAGGAAATCTGGCCAACTTTTTCGCTACGTCCTTGGCAGTGAAGGGGGGGGGGGATTTCTACCTGCTGCTGAGAGAATCACCTACCGCAAGCCCAGCTGCCGGAGCTCTGAGTCAGCCACCGGGGCTGCAGGTCCGGCGCAGCCAAGCACGAAACAAAAGCTGAACAAGTCGCTGCAGCAGCCCCTTGGAGGCCATGGAGCCGCGTCGCAGGCAGCCCAAGAAATTTAACGAGAAGGGAAAACGCAGCTTGGAGGGACCAAGAGAGAAACCCAGCTCCACGCTCCCATTACTGTACCTCCTTCGCTACTGCTGCCATTCCACTGTCCTCTGGAGGGGGGGGGGGAAGACTCACCAGAAAGGAACATCCCCCAACCCTCACAAAGCCCCAGGTCCTCGCCACCCCAACCCCCTCCCAATTCCCCTTCCCCTGGGCTAAGAAGTTCGGCGCTCTACAGCTGCAGGAGACACAGCCAGCTGCATTGCAACGGGGGGAGAAGGGCGGCTGGCAGCCCAGCCCCAAATGCCCGCGGAGCACCCCGCACAAGTTGCACCAGCCCCCATCTCCCCCTTCGCACTGGGAAGTTTCCAGCCCCCGTTCTCGGCAATTCCCAGAGACACAGAGTGCCGCGCCACGGGGCGAGAGAAGAGAGCGGCCCTCTCAGAACTCCCCGAGCCCTGAACAACAGCCCACCCGGCGTGGTACAGCCCCACTCACCTCCCCCTGCAGTTGTGCTTTGCCCCGCTTTGCACTACACTCGGGCGCTCCCCTCGCTGGCTCCGTGCACGCCTTCGCTCTGCCCGGGGCTCGCGGGCGCGCGTGCTCAATACCAGCCAAGCAGGGCGGCTCGCGCCTTCCCTCCCTCTTTTGCCTCGGGCACTGGCGGCACCTGTTCTGCTTTGTGACGTCAGCACGCCTAAGCGCCTTCCCCCAACAGGAGCGCACCTGGCCGGCAAGGAGCCCCCTCCTTTCAGTCTCCCTCTCTCGTAGGAGCGGTCTCGGCTGCTGCTTGCAAACCGCTCTGACCTGCCCGTGCAATAGACAAACAAGGATCCTGGTAATGTTAGGCTTGCCTGCATCTACCACTGAGGGAGAAAGTCTGGGGTAGTGATTAGTAGAGGCGGGTGGGCGCTAGGACGGCTGGGTTTGGTCCCGATCATAGGACACAGTGCTTAGATCAGGAAATTGGGGGTGGGAGGGAGGATAAGACAGGGAGATACTGTGCTTGGTTTTTGCCAGACTCACTGGGTGACCTTGGGCTTGTCACTTGAACTCTCAGTGCCTCGGTTGCCCCCACTGTTAAATGGGGGCGCTAGTAACGTGTTTCTATCTTTGCAAAGTGCTTTGAGAGCCGCTGCCTGAAGGAGCTATAGAGGTACACATTTGTTTTCTTTTCATTTGATTTAAATACATGAAATCAGATGCAAATCTCAAGGAAAAGAGAGGAAGCTGTTAGAGTGGCTTAATCGGTCAATAACTAGGAGTAACAGGATGCAATTAAGAAAAGGGAATATCAGGAAAATCATCCGAACCTAGAGGCCTCTTAGGGTCCAGTCCTGCACTACAGTATGACAGGCACAGGGGTCTGCCCATATGGCATTCATTGCAGGATCTGCCTTTTATACTATGAAAGTGTCTGCCTAGGGTAGTGATAGACATTCCACTGTTTGAGGTATGGAGTTCTTATACCTTTGTTGTTGGAGAATCATCCATTACAAGCTTATAGCCTGGAGAGGTTTTTAAGGCTAAGAGTACCTTACAGACCTGACATTACTGTCACAGGTCTTCAGCTGTTTTGAATCATGTTCTAAGTTAGATGACTAATTAGCAATGCTCTGAGTTGCAGTTTGGGTAGCTCTCACATTCAAGCTTAGCTTTGCACCTTTGTTACCTATGTCACCTTAATGGACTTGCCCCACCTTTTATATAGCTGCTGGGTGTATTAGTTAGGTTTTATAGTTATTGGTTATAATCCTATTTTATTTCACCTTATTTTTAGAGTATGTTTAGCTTAAAGCATAGCACATGGAGCTGAGCATTATGAGACTTGTCAGTGATTTGCTGCATGACCTTGGGCAAGTCACTTAGACCCAAAGCCACAAAGGTATTTAGGCACCTAAACCCCAGACTTAGGTGTTTAGTCCCAATTTTGGCTCTACTGTGATCCACCAAACTCCCTCCAAATGCTGTAGGTGCCTAAACATGCTTAGTGCCTAAGTTTTCAAGGTAAAAGTTCATTAGGCCCCTATATTTCAGGCTCTGGGCATGCATGCTGCTGCCCCACTTTAGGCATTCCTGTCTCCCACCTAAGCCCCAGAGCAATTCACAAACCAGGGCTGCCTAAGTCGCATATGGGGCCCTATATAGTGAGTATGCTCAGAGGCCCCTTACTGGATAACTCCCATTTAAAATCTGGCTGGTGGAGGGGCCACCTCCATAACTTTTAGCCCAGTAGTTAAAGCACTTACATGGGATGGGGGAAACCCAGGTTCAATTCCCCCCTCTTTGCAAGAAAGGGAGGAAAGATTTGACCAGACGATCCGCCTACCTCTCAGGAAGATACACTAACCACTGAGTTATGGGAAAGTCTGATGTACTTCCTCAGTCTCTATTGAAGATGTTCCCTTGTGGATAAATAATGAAAGAGTGATTGAAGCGTGGGGACTGGCTCCTGGGTCTCCCTCCTCCCAGGTGGGTGCCCTCACCACTGGACTACAGAGTCATTTCCATTCTCTCTCCCACCCAATGACTGTTTATCCACAATGGAACAGTCATTGGGCCAGAATAGCCCATAGTGGGGTAGAACCCCTCTCTGAGAGGTAAGACACCCCTGTTTGAAGTCCATTCTCCCATCTGGTAACAGAATTTGGGTCTCCCACATTGCAGGTGAGTGATCTGGGCTAAAAGATAGAAGGTGGGCAGTGACTCCTCTGCCATTTTATGTGTGGAGTGAGGCAGATGCCTAAGTCATTCCCACAAGAAGTGGCTTAGGCAGCATGTTCCAGGTTGTGGATCATTAAGCAGAGATAGATGGCCATCTCTGAGAGGGGGTGGGGCTTAGCACAAACCCTGTCATTGCCTATGGGAATGCCAAGCTTAGGTGGCTCTCTGCCTAGTATCCTAGCTTTGGTGGATCACATTCTGATGCCAGCTATCTCTCCCCATTCATTGTATAGGAGCCTAACTCAGGCTTTGTGGATGGCAGTGTTGTTCCTATGAATTTCTAGGCACTCATATGATGTTCATTGTTGAAACGCTTAAATTCCTTTGTGGATCTCACCCTTAGTCTGATCACATGAGGTGCTGAGTACTTCCTTTAATGGTAGTTGAGGATATTCAGCATTCCACAGGAAGTGCTCTGCACCTCCTACAATTGGGTCTTGATATCTTTGCCTTGCCTTTTTTTTTTTTTTTTTTTTAAAGAAGGAAGGTCATTCTGCTATTTCTGTAAAGTGATTTTAGACTTATGGATGGGGAAAAGCATGATATAAGTGTGAATTAGAATTATTTTAAATCTGCTTAATGTTAGTATGTATGTGAAATAAATAAGGATACAATTGCAAAGTACTGTATTAATGCAATGTTAAGGTTGCATAGATCAAGCAATCTTCTCAAGAAATCATGAGCAAAGGTTTCAATGGCAATGCTAACGCATCTGTATTGCACATCTTGTATGATCTGTGATATTCATGTTATGATAAAATGTATAGTTTATCAGAAAAATGGGAATTGACATAACATTGATTTGAAATCCTTGAATTAAAGGGCCATAGAAATGGACAGTATTATAACCTTTTAAAACATACCTCTTTCATGTGCCACTAGTCAATCTTATGCTGACCTAAATATGTATAAGTGTAGTTAAATGCATATTCAAAGATGTGTAATTACCATCATCTTGTTCATTGCAAGGGATTGAACGTAGAACTAGTAGTTAATGGCTGATTATGCCCTGAAACGTAGGTTTGTAGCCCGTGTATTTTTTTTATATTGTTGCAGGGTTTTTTTGTGTGAGAATCTATAGAATTGTTTACTCCTTTCATCCATCTAATATCTTGGCCTATAAAATATTTTGTGGCAGTGAGTTAGTCATTTGCTGGGGTTTCATGTAAATTAGACCCAGGGGAAGAGTTTGGTGAATAAATCCAAATCTGATTAAAGGAGCTCCTACTTTTTGATTAGAAATAACCCCATTTCTATGGCTCACCTTTGGATTTGATCACCAAATCCTTCACTCAGCCTTAATGTACACCTTCTTATTGTCACCTGGCTCCATGGAACCAGTCACCCTATCCCCATGAAAAATGTGCAGGAGAGGTGCCTGGAGGTTGAAAACTGAGATATTCCCCTAGTAGAATTTCTCCAAAATCATTCAATAGGGGAGGGAGAGCAAAGCAGCATTTTCCCCTTCCTCACTTGCCCCCAAACCCATGTGAAATGAACAGAGTTCTGCCCCTTAATGTACAGATCCCATGGGGCCTGAAGGAGGCAAGGGGAATCTATGCTTAGGCCCAGTGCTTTTGCCCTGGCTTTAGAGCTACCTGATCCCCTTGACTACCAAGTAGCACACCTCCAGTGAATCATGTGACCACTGTCCTAGCCTACCCTCATTGCTGCCCTCCAACTTGGCCTGTGTGGGCTGATGTGGAGACTCCCAGGTTCCCAACAGAATTGTACTGATTAGATTTCTTCCCCCTCCAACCTGTCTCCTGGAGTATGGGGTCAACAGTGTCACGGCAAACTGATATTTCATTAACTTTTCACTGGGTTCCCTGTTGGGGCTTGATGTGGAAAATATGCTGTCCTCCAGTCTGTCCCCTCCCACCCTGTGAACCCCAAAACTCCACAAAGGACCTCTTCCTCTTCTTGAACAAAGGTTCACGTCTCATTATTTGTTTTTATGCAGGTGAAGTAAATTTCAACGATAAGGAAAAAGAGCTGCTAAAGGGTATTGTATCACTCTGACAGTATAAAAATAGTGCTCTGTAGCTATGCAGCTCAGTAGGTGAAACTGGTCCCTCATAATTTTCAGTAGATCATTTTTATCTGTTTTCTGCTACATCCATTGACCTCCCTTATGAGATGATGGCTAAAGATTCAGATTGCCAGTAAGGTTGGCAGAGTTTTTCTCCCTCTGCACCCCTGGCACACAGTGGCTTGAGAACCTACAAGATATCTATCATGAAATACCTATTTAGTATAGATTGGTAGACTGTAGGAAAAGTTCTCTTTTGTGATTGAGCCAGTTTTTTCCTAGCTACTGTACACAGTTGCAGGCTATTTATATACATTGAATACGATTCAGGATTGAGCATGTCAGCAGGGTATTGTATGTTTCAAACTAACAAAAAATGAGTGGAATGCAGCTCCATTGTTTTGCTTTGTCACCACATGAAAGAAAACTGTTTGTTTATTTTTTTTGGTGGTCAGCTTAGTAGTAAAGGCAAACAAAATAGTTTACTTCCACCCATAACAAGCCAATTGTTTGTATCCTTACACAGTGATTATAGGACTGATCCACAGCCCTTTGAAATCAAAGGTACTACTAATGTGCTTGATATTGAGCGGATGTATAACTGCTTTGCTGGATCAGTGACAAAGTGCTGAGTGAGCACCTTGTAGGATTGAATCCTCAGTCTCTGAGAGGCCATCGGGGGAGCAAATTCCAAATGTCAGGGTTTAGAACTAAGAACCCCTCTATTTCCAGCATTGGAAAACAGAGTCCCATGTTATGAGACATCCCAGGACTCGACTGCCATGACTGGACATAACAGAACATATAGGTTTTGTGATGTTACTAA